AGTGATGCAAGCCACTCTGCGAACTGTCCTAATCTGTTGCATAGTTTCTGTCTGTCTGTCTGTCTGTCTGTCTGTCTGTCTGTCTGTCTGTCTGTCTGTCTGTCTGTCTGTCTGTCTGTCTGTCTGTCTGTCTGTCTGTCTGTCTGTCTGTCTGTCTGTCTGTCTGTCTGTCTGTCTGTCTGTCTGTCTCTCTCTCTCTCTCTCTCTCTCTCTCTCTCTCTCTCTTTCGCTTTCTGTGTTTGTGTGTATGTGGGTGTGTGATGTATACATTTTTTTCTCTTCTGTATTGTAGTCTGTAGGATTAACACCTCATGGACGAGAATCAAACACGTACAAGTAGCAGAAACCAGGTTCAAACCTACAACAAGAGTACTCAATCGCCCTGGATAACCCCCTACAATTACAAGGGTGACCTACAGTTCTCAGTGGGTGCGCCATTCTGTATCCAGTGTATCAATGTTTCTGTTTTTGTTGGCATCGGAATAGTGGCTATTCGAATCAAGGTATGTAACACCGTCAGGTCTGCACACTTGGCGTGGGTGCTTAAAAAGAAACAAAATTCAGTCACCACAAAGGATCTTGACTCCAGTCTACCCCTTTGGTTTAGTTTGGTTTATACAATCGATCAACGTCTTGGCACAAGGGGAGTAACCCATAAGTGCTCCGTTCTACTTTTAACTCAAGGCTGAGTCCGACAATTTCAATGCAGTGCACCTGCGAGAATCCTAAAATACTTTGGGGTCGATTTTTAACTCCAAATCTTGCTTGGGTCGCATTTAGGCTACTTTTTTTCTACTTTCAACCGCCGAGGGATTTTTTTTTTAACATGTGCGACAATACACATGGGCGTCCGATTTTATTAGAGACCAGGGGAAATTACTAGAAGTCTCGTGAAAAACTCACAGCCTTCACCGGGGCCTGAACCCGGGACATCTAGCATTCTAGGCGGGCGCCATGCCTCGAGACCACTCAGCCCCTATAGTGTATCCTTATTTCCTCCAACGTTTCTATTTCAGTACACCTTTCTGGTGTTTAATTTTGTCCATTGCTAATGACTTTGGCCGAAACCTCAGATTTTCATTTCCCCCCTCTGTAAGCTGTCTAGCCATAATTGGTGTCGTGTTAATGTACAATTCTGTCACTCAGAACAGAAACCCAATTACTTGGATACTCCCATCGGCTTTCCCAGAATCCTCTCTTGTCAAGTACAACAACAAGGACAGTACTTTCTGTCACCTAATCTAACAGTCTACTGTAGTTGTCCCCCCTGTAACAATCTTATCCATCCACCAACCAAGGACAGCACACAATGGAGTCCCGCGATCCATGTGAAGGCTCATCCCAAAACAAGATCCTACGCATTGTTGGCGTCCCCTTTCATCGTTTGAAGTCCTCTCCTCAACAGGCAGAGAATTCAGACAATGGGTTGGAATCTTCCGGAGGTGGCCATGTTTATCCAAGTTTGCGATCTTCATCGCCATGTTGATTTTCCTGATTTGAACTCCTCAACGAACATTGTCACGTCTGCTTCTTCGGATCAGTTGTCGGCCAAGTCTTTTGTTTTGTTTTGTTGTTTCTGGGGATTAAGTTTGACTTTTTGAGTGAAACAGCGGCTGTAGAGTGCAGACGGGAGCAGAGTGTAAGATTTGTCCTGTGTAATGTTGATATGGGTTTTTTAATGTCGTGTATGGTGTTTGATGTTATTTGTATTGTTTAATGTTGTGTGTGTGTGTGTGTGTGTGTTTGATGTTTATAGGGCCGTTGTGTGTTTATTAGTGCTGCTTGATTTTGTATGTATCACAGAGGGGAACTGGGTGTAGAGACACTGGACGCAGAGCAACTGCACACACAGAGACTGACAAAGAGTGAAACTGAACATATAGAGATTTGACACACAGAGAAACTGGACACTGGGAGATTGGACACATTGATACTTAACAAACTAGACACAACAATACGCCATATGGGAAATTTAGACACAAAAAGACTGCACACATAGAAACTAGGCAAATAAAAAAGACCGGACACATAAATATTGGACATCAAAAGATTGGACACTGAAAGACTGAACAAATAAAGACTGGACACAGAAAGACTGAATACAGAAAGACTGGACACAGCAAGAGACTGGACACATTAAGACTGGATACAGAAAGACTAGACACAGAAAGACTGGACAGAGAAAGACTGGACATACAGTGACTGGATACAGATGACGCACACACAAAAACGGAGTCATTGAACATTGCATTTATTGAACAAGTTTGAGTAGTGCGTCGTCCATGTAGGTAGCAATCATTGCATAACTTGCATAATCAATGTATCTTCCACAAACTATCTATCTACACACACAATTGAGGTTAGAACAGCTTTTCTCACACAGTATCTATCTGCACACATAGGTGAGGTTAGCTTAACGTCTCTCACACAATATCTTTCTACACACACAGATGAGGTTAACACAGCTTTTCTCACACAGTATCTATCTACACACATAAGCCAAGAAAAACAGGGCCTATACTGCTCGTTTTTAATGCCTAATATCTCCTGTATTCATTTTTATATTTACTTCTCCTTCAGGGAAAGAGGACGTGCGCATCTATGGCTACAGCGGTGCCTGTAGCAGATCAGCTACAATGCTCTATGTCGAATGTTGAATTAAGAATCAACATCATAGCACTCGGGACACTTCCATAAGCGCCCCGTCCTCATCTTCAGCAACAAGCGAAGAGTACCAGTTCTGATGGTTCTTGTAGATGTCTGACTGTGTATCGTCTCACCTTTTCGTTGACTGTTGAGCGTCTGCCAGATTCCCTGGTAACTCCTCGCAGCGCCATTCTCCTCAGATCATAATGATCTATTTGTGCCTTCACACCGTTACTCGCTTCCAAAGGACCCTCACAACATCCAGCTTGTCATGCATCAATTCACCACCAAGTGGTGCAGAACCAACCAGTCTATCTGCCAGCTCAAACACAGAAAGGTCAAAATTCCTTATTGTATTTCCATCTACTGTACAGGATAGGCAGGTTTTCTCTTGATTCCTTCCAGGCCCGGGAAGCTGGTTAAGATCAACAGGCCATGGTTCGGGACCAGTTGCTGGACAGGCGTCGACGGTTAGCTGACCTTTCTGGGAGCGTACAGCTACTTCTGTCTCTGCACTAGCTGACTGTCAATGGAATAGGTGCTGTCTCCATAGTGAACTGACAAATCTCCAACACTTTCTGTTTCTTGCTTTGGTTGTACACTCATTGAGCCTATTGCTAATCTATCGCTTGCTGTTATCCTTCCATTTGTACAGCTCTGTTTACCCTGTCCTCGCTTGCCTTCAACTTGTCCATCAAGTATGCTTTTAGTCAGATTGTTATGTCTTTCTATGTGAGCAAAGACTCTTTTACGTCAGTTGTTCATATGATACAGACCTATATTTCACAGACCTATATTTTACAAACAAATCGAATCTTAGTTGGCGATTTTGTCAACATCATGTTGGCCACCTTTACTGCTGAAATTGTCTCTCCTTTATTACTTTCTACAGTTATTTTCTCATTCCCAGTTTCTCGATCTTTGATTTATAAACCATTTACTACAAGCTGCAACCCAGGCTTGAATCTGTGGGCGGACTGATCCTATTTTTCTTCTTTGTTTACAGGCTGTAAATTCCGGTGGAAGGTCCTGATTTTTCGTCCCATTTGGACTTGAGCTTTGCGCCAGAGCCTGCGTTGTGCGTGTACACCCGTTTTATCGACTTATTTGTGTGCAGTTAGTTGTTCATTGCTGCTCCGGCAGATGCATTTCATCTTCGAAGAAAGCTCCCAGCTAGTCGACTCTTACGACATGCTTTTAGGTAGGCAGTGGGTCTGTTCTTGTTATTCTCACAATAGGGCCCCGGAGCTCACACATTAAGGGTCTACTGATGACTGCCGCGAAAAGCAGCTCCCCCTTCCACATGGACTGCATTGCTTCCAAGGAATTGCAACTACGTATTGTCCATCACCAGTTTTGGAGCCGCCTGTAGAACGTCTTATTTGCCTGTTTTACAAACTTTTAGAAACGCTTGACTGGTCAACCTCTGGCCAAAAATCTGGTAACCCTCATGAATATTAGGTGACCTCTGAGGTCAAAATCGTCTGATGAGTAAATCTCTGAGCACCTTGACTGGTAACGAAAAGCCAAATTTGTTATCCATATATTATTATCTGAAAAACTCACATGCAAGCTTAAAAACTATTGTTCATCAAATGTTCTACAGAGGTGTCTTCATGGAACTTCATAAAGATGTGGTCACAGCAGATCTTGGTATAAAGGTGTAGTGTCACAGCCGTGCAGCAGTTATACTATAACTGACAGTTGTCCTCATGTGCGATGCAATATTTCGTTATTTGAAGTCTCACCCTGCATTTAAATGACCCCTAAATATAGCCGGGTCATGAATGTGGCCATAACGGTAAAAGGGGATTTCTGGGACCTCTCCACGGGTGGTATTCATCCGCATGGTGGCACTTTGTGTCACCGGGTATTTATCGCTTGTGTGATGTCCTGGTGGGGTACAACAAGAGAGAGAGAGAGAGAGAGAGAGAGAGAGAGAGAGAGAGAGAGAGAGAGAGAGAGAGAGAGAGAGATAGAGCCTTGCAGCAGGTGTTTAGTGCAGTATGACTTACAGCAGGTATCTAGTAATGTAGATCCTGGTATAAGTGGATAGTGTCTTAAATCTTGGTACATGTGTCTATTACTGCAGCAGACTTTGTGGCATGTGTTGTGGATCTTGCTCTATGTGTCTGGTGTTGTAGATCGTAGATCGAGTGTCGTAGATCTTATAGCAAGTGTTTGGTGCTGCAGATGGCAGATCAAGTGTCTAGTACCCCTAGATATTGCAGCAAGGGTTTAGTGCTCTAGATCTTGAGATACAAATCTAGTGATGTAGATTTTGACAGTCTTTTGCCAAACGTTTGAAGGCAAGAGTCTGTTTCAGATCTCGATGTTCTTATCACGTTTGGTGGTCACACCTGCCAGTCCCTGAGTTGTGTCCTTTCTGGGCCTTGGGTATGGAAGGTTTTATCTGAGATAACGCTGTAGCTACCTGAAGTGGTGGTGTTGAGGTCACTGTCCTCGTTACAACTGTCCCCCAGTGAAGACAACGAAGGTAGAATAGGCCTTTTATTGGGATAGTGGGATCTTGCTCCTTTGTCGCTGTTCGGTTGGTACGAGTGGGTTAGCTGGGACTGTCCAAATGTTTGCTGATGAATGACTGGAGTGTGCTGGATTCTGTGTTTCTTTAATTCACCAGTATATGGCTGATGTTGGGGTAATGCTGAACAGGGAACACTGCTGCTTCTGCCTCTGATGGGCGGGGCATTTGGCTGTGATCTCAAAGGGTGCCTTTGATCATATATATCCGTGACACAAGGATCAAATCTCACAGAGCAACTATTGGCTCTCAGGCGGGAAGTTTTCATCTTGACCGTGCGGCTGGTGTCGATCCCTGATTGTAGGCAGATGGCTCCAGTCCCAGTCTCGGTGGAGGCAGTGCTGTTGAAGTCATCTTGACCGTGACGGCTGGTGTCTGATCCCTGAAATATGTATGGTACATCTTAGTTAGTCGGTAATAATGACTCAAAGGTCAACATTTCACCTCAGTTTTGCTCTAACTGCACTTTAGCATTGACACTTATACATCGATATTTATGATTCATCCATGGCGATGATGATGATTTTGAAAATAAGAAAATAAGTAAACGGAGAGACACGAGAATCTGTGTCAGCTGCCCGGTAGTTGGAGAAAGTTAGCAATCAGTATTATAATAAACCCACCTACGTCCTACGAGAGAGTGCAGTCTAGGTCCCACGATGCCTAGGTCCCACGGCTGCATGCAGCCTATCTACCACCCCCTGAAATATTAGACTGTCCCGTGACCTGTGGATTTCCCCTGTTTGGGGTAGGATACTAATAAAACACTCATCTCTATCATTTAACTTTTTTTTCTCAGTTGGTGACTCTAAGGTTTTGTAGGTCTGCTTATGCAGGATCGCTCCATAGTCTCCTTGGTCTGTCTCCTGGTCAACCCATTTTCAACGCTTATGTGTACGCAGCTTTTGTCTCTCTGTTTTCTGCCATTCCCTCTTTATGTATGAATGAGTTAATCAAGTTCAACCCCAACAAAACCGCACAACGAGCGACAAACACCCCGTAAATAAAAGTGCCACCGTTCGGATGAGAATAACCCAGGCGCCAGTCCCAAAAACCCTGTTCAACCTGTAGGTTATATTAGGGTCTCTGACAACTGCCAGAGTGGGGCTTTAAAATTACAAAACATTGCGTTCCGTATTGGGACGGCTGTAAATAAACACAACAACCACACAACCCTCTTTATGTCCCAACCACTGCATTCTATGAGCCCACATGATCCCAGGAATTACTGGTGCTTTCAACGGATAATGAATTCTGTTGTTCCTTCTTACTTTATCTTGTTACTCTGAGCTGTTACTCTAACTTGTTAATCTAACTTCTTTTTCTAACTTCTTATTCTAACTTGTTACTCTAACGTGTTACTCTAACTTGTTTCACTAACTAGTTACTTTAACTTCTTACTCTAACGTGTTACTCTAACTAGTTTTTCTAACTTATTACTCTAACTAGTTACTTTAACTTTTTACTCTAACTTGTTACTCTAACTTCTTACTCTAGCTTGTTACTCTAACTTCTTACTCTAACTTTGAACTCCAACTTGTAACCATAACGTGTTACTCTAACTTGTTATTCACTCTAACTTCTTTAACTTGTTACTCTAACTTCTTACTCTAACTTCTTACCCTAACTAGTTACTCTAACGTGTTACTCTAACTTGTTACTCTCACTTGCTATTCTAACTTGTTACTCTTATTTGTTACTCTGACTTGTTACTCTAACTTGAAAAAGATACGCTGTAAAGATGTTTACAAAAGTTTATAACAAGACTCAAGCACAGAATGCTTAAGAACACTGAACGCACTAGTTTTTCTACCTGTAGTTTCTGTGTGGCAGCTGCAAACTGAAGGCACGTCCGATCAGGGACAGTAACTCTGCTGTTTAACATGGACATTTCTGCGCATGTGTTTACGGTGTAGACGCTGTTGTTGTAGCCGTTAGGATGCTGATGTTGTTGCTGCAGTTGTTGGTATGGTGGCGTCGGGTCTTGTAGTGGTGGTTCATGGCTCGTCTTTGAATTCTGAAATGTATTATTCACAAACTTTAAAGACAGTCTGTCATGTTTCTCTAAGTGGGAAGAAGCCAGTTTGACATTACATGAATCAACAACTGCATTAGCCAGTTAGTTGCGTGTCCATTACAAGACCGTGCAGAATCAACTAGGAATAATTTGTTTGTAGCTGTTTGTGATTTAACTATGCAATTATATATTCAGTAGTGTGCCACTGTTCGCTCTCAATAACACTGTTGAAACCAACGCAAGACGGTCTGCTACCAAATCACCTGCAGCTGGGATCGAGCTCGCCACTACGGAATTACGACGCGCATTCGCAATGGCTAAGCCACAGACATAAACAATGTGACAATTGAGATCTGACACTCCTGAAGAAAAAAAAAGACAAGGGTACTGTTTTAAGAATACTTTGTTCTACATCCCACTATAAAAATGCCAACTGAAAGAAGACGTACAGCTCGGAAGCACACACAAATTATTACAGTACGCAGAGAACAGTGCCGTGGGAAATGATCTGCTGAGAACTGTGCCGAGGGAAATGATCTACTGATAACTGTGCCGTGGAAAATGATCTGCTGAGAACTGTGCCGTGGGAAATGATCTGCAGAGAACTGTACCGTGGGAAATGATCTGCTGAGAACTGTGCCGTGGGAAATTATCTGTAGAGAACAGTGCAGCGGGAAATGATCTGCAGATAACAGTGCCGTGGGAAATTATCTGCTGAGAACTGTACAGCGGGAAATGATCTGCAGAGAACAGTGCCGTGGGAAATTATCTGCTGAGAACTGTACAGCGGGAAATGATCTGCAGAGAACAGTGCCGTGGAAAATGATCTGCTGAGAACTGTGCCATGGGAAATGATCTGCTGAGAACTGTGCCGTGGGAAATGATCTGTAGAGAACAGTGCAGCGGGAAATGACCTGCAGAAAACAGTGCAGCGGGAAATGACCAGGGGGTCTGGCCGACATTAAACACCCAAAGTAACTTCAAGATGGACAAATGATCAGACTGCTAGTGATACTAGCAAAACTGGGACTCTGCACTGGCTCCTGAAGATAGGGACAGGGTGTATATGGGAATATTCCGAATGCTGTGAGGTCGCTTTTTTAAAACTTAGATTAAATTATCAGTGAGATAATAATCAGTGCGTCTTTGTTACTTAAAATAGCCGGGCATGCTTTTTTGTCCAAGAATACAAAACGATAACTAGACTACATAAGCCAGAGTCCTGGCCCAAGACAATTGCCCCATGATAGACGTATCAGAACAAGTCATTATTCTGCGCCCCAGAACACGGCACAACTGATTACGAGGCCACATGTAAACGAAATTCAAGAGTGGCGTATCAGCCATGTGTACCCATGGAATGTTTTCCTAGACAGCAGAACATTGATAACAAGACTGCACCGAATAAAACACTTTGAAGTAAAGCTAAAAAAAAAAAAAAAAACAACAGGAGAAAGTTAACTCCGCGGACCACTGAAAGAACTAAAAAACGATAATGAAATTTATCCGAGACAATATTGCTTATATAGACAACTTATTTCAGGCGAAAAAAAGGAAAAGCAGAATAGTTTTATTTTTAAGAGGTAAGTACAATACGTTATAAAGCGATGGGTATTAGGCTTACTCACCGGTAGAGAGAGAGAGGGAGAGAGAGACAGAGAAGGGGAGAGACAGAGAGAGAGAGAGAAGGAGAGAGAAAGAGGGAGAGAGAAGGAGAGAGAAAAGGAGAGAGAGAAGGAGAGAGATTGAGAGAGAGGGAGAGAGGGAGAAGGAGAGAGAGAAGGAGAGAGAGGGGGAGAGAGAGGGAGAAAAATAGAGAGGGAGAGAGAGAGAAAGAGGGTGAAAGATAGGGAGAGATGGAGGGGAGAGAGAGGGAGAGAGAGTAAGAGAGAGATAGGGAGAGAGAGGGAGAGAGAGGAAGAGAGATGGAGACAGACAGACAGACAGACAGACAGACAGACAGACAGACAGACAGACAGACAGACAGACAGACAGACAGACAGACAGACAGACAGACAGACAGACAGACAGACAGACAGACAGACAGACAGACAGACAGACAGACAGACAGACAGACAGACAGACAGACAGACAGACATAAGGTGAGAGATAGAACCAGCGAACAAACGAACTTTGTTGCAAAGGGTCATAAAGAGACCCGCAGGTCCGTCTAACAGTGGAGGCGTTTAAGCCCTCATCTTTCACACCGCCACCGTATTTTATCTATCAAACATTTTATGTTAATATTTCAAAATATTCATAGTATACATGTGTGTGTGTGTGTGAGAGAGAGAGAGAGAGAGAGAGAGAGAGAGAGAAAGAGAGAGGGAGGGAGGGAGGGAGAGAGAGAATAATTAGAGAGGAGAAGAGACCAACAAAGTGTGTGGGAGAAAGTGTTATACACTGAAAGATACAGGAAATAGATAACAGAAGAGATCTTAAAGAACAAAATAGCAGGAGATATCGTATAGAACAAAAAAGAACTCTAAAGTATAAGAAAATCCCACATACATGAGAGAAAGACCACACACACACAACTCAAAGTCAACAGTACACAAAGACATTTTGCCAGACAATCCAAGCTACCCGGCATGGCACTTGACAACATGGTTACAGATTAACGTCGACACCGGCCGAGGGGCGGGCAGTTGTAAAGTCGAGTGGTTACAGTACATATTTAACCAGCGTCAGACCAATGCAAGGTACAACAGACCTGAAGTTGGCCTCTGTTGATTCAAAGTCTCGCTGAAGGATTTGTTCGCATCACAGTTTGTCTTGTACATAGATTTGACGTGGACAAGCCGGGACTGGCGGCCTGGGCGACTGTTTGCTGGGAACCCACTGCTCTTGTGGTGGTGTGTGTGTATGTGCGTGTTTGTGCGCGCGCGCACACGCTCGCGAATGTGCAGGAGGCAACAGGCACATACAAGCAGGCAAACGTGACCACTCACTCACCAGCAGACTTTGATAAAAGGAGTGCTGTACTGGTTGGAGATTTCTCTCCTCCCCTGCTTCTTGTTTTCATTTTATTTTATTAGGGAGCTGCGTGGTCTAGAGGCATGGTATCCGCCTCGAGTTCTGGAGGTTCCGGTTTCAATCCCGACAAGGGCTGTGATTTTTTTTTACATTTACTTCTAGTAATTTCCCCTGTTCTCTGGGTAGTGAGATCGGACGCCCGTGTGCATTGTTGAGAACGCAAACGTAAAAAAATTCATCGGCAGTTGGAAATCGAAAAGAGTAGCCTAACGGCACTACCTAGGAAAAATTCTGAGTTGAAAATCTACCGAAAGTATTGCAGGATCCTCGCCGGTGCTACAGAGCCTGTGCACGGTGCTGAGCTTTTCGGACTCACACTTGAGTTAGAAGTAGAACGGAGCACTTATCAGTTACTACCCGTGTGCCATGATCCGTTGTTCAAATATCAAAAAATCAAAAACCCCTATTTCAGTACATTTATGTTTCTTCTTCTTCAAACTTCCCTCCTCCACTACCTTTCCCTCATCTACTTCCTCCTCCTTCTTTCTCTTCTTCATACTGACCACTACAATCATCATCATCACTAAGTATCTTTGTATGCCATCTCGACACCCTTAAATCATTACATCTCCAAGACAGTGTTTACACGGATATTGTAATGACGCAAAAAATGAGATAAACTTTTACGTAGGAATGACACGATACGATGCTTCAAACATTTTTTAAACATTTTTTAAACGTCGCTCACGTCACCCCTTAGAGATCTACATACTCTCCATTCCTCGTTTGTGTATTTCACTTGTGTTTGAAAAAGGCTGCCTGGCCGAAACGTTACGTTGTGTTGTTTTGTGCACGTTTTCCTCTTTCCCACTTTGTTGAGCTTTTTAGTCAAATTTTTCTAGAATTCATTGTATTAGCTTGACTGCAGTCACCCCCATAGTTTCACCATTTTTGGGAATGACACGATATGATGCTTCAAACACATGGGAATGATACGATATAATGCTTCAAACACATGGGAATGACACGATATGTTGCTTAAAACACATGGGAATGACACGATATGCTGCTTAAAACACATGGGAATGACACGATATGTTGCTTAAAACACACTGGAATGACACGATATCTTGCTTAAAACACATGGAAAGGACACAACATGATATAGATATAATAACATTAATACTGACAAACTGTTATAGGTATAATAACACAAATACTGATAAAATGATACAGACATTTTAACACAACTACTGATACACTGGGACAGATATATAAACATAAATACTGATAAACCGGGACAGACATAGACAACTATTTACCTCCACACTGTACTGTTGACCACACTGACTGGTGAGCCCCGTGTCACAGTCAACAGCTAGCTCACGACACACGGAAGCATGATAGTGGATCTTCTTCCTGCGGTCCTGGCTGCGGACCAAACAGATGGCCACTAGGACCACGCCAGAGATGATGACCGTAAAACAGACAATACATGCCACTATCAACAAGTTCTGATCCGCTATGACCTCACCGGAAGAAGTTGAGTCCGACAGGAGGGTCAAATGAAGAGTTCTCGTCTGCCACAATGGTGGCGAACCCTGATCTGTAGCGTTGATGGTGATATAGTATGTACCGGCCATATTAGGGTTGTTTAAATTTGTTCTGGCCACAAGATGTCCAGAAAGCGTCTCTATCGTGAAGAGTTGTGAAGCGTTGTTGTCGACGATTGAATGAGTGACGAGGCCGTTTCGGTTGTCGTCTGGGTCATACACATCTACGTGTAGGATGACGGCGTCTTTTTGAACAGGCATGTTTACGGTAGTGGAGTAATTTCGTTCACTGGGGAACACAAACACCGGAGCGTTGTCATTGATGTCTAAAATGTCAATGCTAACTCGGACAGACGACGACCGCTTGGGAAATCCATTATCAGTGGCAACCACAACAAAACTGTACATGTTCTTATGCTCTCTGTCAAACTTTTGTAGAGTCAAGATCTTTCCTTGATGGTCAATAGCAAATGGGACACCATCTTTGTCATCTGCAGGTTTCAAAGAAAGAGAGACGGTCCCCTCAACACCAAGATCGGGATCGGTGACAGAAATGTTGCCAACTAGACTTCCCGGTTTTTTGTTCTCGTACAGCCGGAAGTTGTACTCCTGCAGCGAGAAAATTGGGTCATTGTCGTTAAGGTCAAGGATGTTCACTGTGACGGTGGTTGTACCACTTAAGGAAGGTTGGCCATGATCTACAGCCACAACATGGAAAGTGTACTGGGCCACACGCTCGCGGTCAAACCTGATATTGGCTGTGATG